AGGGATCATGGAATCCCACAGGGGCATGTCGCTTGCAAAACAGACATACACGCACATCGGTGCCGTGACTCTGAAATCCTAATTAAGCAATTCCTATATGGGTTTTAATATAATTATTTTGACTTTCCCAAAGGGGGTGTTTTGTATATGTGTGTTAGTTGGTCGGCCCTAAAGGATTTATTTCAATATACTACACACTTATGCACAACATGTGTGTGGGGGGGGGGTGCAGAGGTCGCAAACGGGTTTTGATTCCTTACCCGTACCCATACCCGGCCGCACCAGGGTCGCAAACGGGTACCCGTACCCGTACCCGGCCGTACCCGTACCCTACCCGTACCCGGCCGGGTATCGGGTAGGGTACGGGTATCGGGTACCTGATTGCGACCTCTGGGATGAAGCCATGTTGCAGGCACGGGTGGGTTGATTCTAGGAACTTGAATTGTGAGAAGAGACAAGACGTTGGGAAATGAGTGACAAACGGTTACTCACCAGTGACTCACGGCCTACCCGTACCCGGCCGCACCAGGGTCGCAAACGGCTACCCGTACCCGGCCGGGTACGGGTAGCCGGGTATCGGGTAGGGTACGGGTATCGGGTACCCGGTTGCGACCTCTGGGGTGGGGGGGGCGGGGGGAGCGAAGGCGCAACGGTTAGCGCGCTGCCCTACGAGCCCGGCGACCCGAGTTCAATTCCAGCTCACGACCAACAACGGTGGCGAATATTTGAACCGGTCCTGAGCCTCCCCTAGGTCGACTCCGCCTCAAATTAGCACCTGGTGCGTTGTGCAAACATCGCCCACGAGGGAGACAAAGGTGGCTGGGCGTGTTTGCTGGCCACACCAACCCCTCGTGCGCTCTCCCAGGCTTACTTGGCGCACGATAAAAGGCACTTGCCCCAAAAAGTGTATTTAGGTTACACGGGGGATCTTTGTCTTTGTGTGTGTATTTCAACAACTCAAAGTCTCCTCCTCCTGCTCCTGTGAGCAAATGGGATGTTGCTCATCAGCAATTATGGCTCTGAACCAATTGTGGAAACATCACATTCCTTCTGCAGGGGTCAGTCTCGTCTTACCGATGTGCTGAGCTGACCCTCGACCGGGATTTGAACTCTGCTTTCTGAGTCGACGGCTACGTCATCCGATTCCTTTCACATTTCACACGCAGGGCGATCCATTCGTAGACACCCCACCGATTTCGAACGCCCCCTATTGCATTCTCCTGCCACAGGCGACTGAATATTGTGAAAGCAGTGGCTCATAGAAGTAGACCTGATGACGCGGGCAGTGATGAGCAGAAAACTGCCACGATTTGGACACGCATGAAGGGTGGACAACAAAGGGGAAATTCAAAGTGTTGTTGTTCGGGGGGGGGGGGAATGGAAGGAACCGGAAAGAGGAGGACGACCTCAAAGGGCTTGACGATGACGACGACGACGTCATCAGAGATTGGGTGCCAGAAAGAAGTGGCCACTACTTGAACATACTGGCACAAAACGGAGGAAAGTGGCAACGAAATGACGGTAAAGTCACGTAGGTAAAAAATGAAATTAAAATTAATAAAATAATAAAATCACCACGTTTCGGAGGCAACACAAGTCTCCGTCATCAGGTGGGACCGTCACAGCCAGATGTGCTGTATCAAGTGAGGGAAGGATTCAAGATGCAAGATCCCGATACGTTCCATTCATTGGCTACCACATTCTGATAAGTCCCCCCCCTCTCCTCCCCCTTAACTTGTATTTAAGAGCTTGCATCTTGGAATCCCTGCATCACTTGATACATCAAATCTGGCTGTGACGGTCCCACCTGATGACGGAGACTTGTGTTGCCTCCGAAACGTCGTGATTTTATTATTTAAATTTTTATTAATTTTAATTTAATTTTTTACCTACGTGACTTTACCGAAAAAACTAAGAGTATCAATCCTTGCAGTCACGAAAGCTTCAAATCTAGAAGAAATGACGGAATGTGCAGTCGACACCCACACTAATGGCTAATCTGCCTGCGTCGTGATCAGTGGCTTCATATACCCCACAGAGGAGGGGAGATAGCAGGCGGTGGCGGCGGTGGTGGCGGCACGCATCAGGAGAGCATTAAAACGCGTAACGAGTGCACTGAGATTCGGAGGAGGCGTGCGAGGGCTTTGAAATAAAATGTAGTTTTCTTGGCGATATTCTGTCCGGGTATCTCTAATGGGATCACCGCCGTACGAAGAGGCACACGTACATGAGTGGCCCCAGAATGCCGGGACACAGAGGGTTATTGCATTTATTTTAACGCTGGCATTAAGACATTTTAATTGTTTATACTTTGAGTTAATATTGTATCGACTAATAACGTTGGTATCTATTCTTTTTCTTCTCCTTTGTGTGGGGGTCACCCCAAATCCGTCGTTTACAAAACTCGACCGAGGACCCGGATTCAGACGACAAAATAAAAGTGACGAATGTTCCACGACCGCACCTGCAAAGTCCTAAACTCATTTCAAAAGAGAATGCATGCACCCGTCAATGTATGACAGGAGTCGTCGGTTTGAACGTCTGTTACAATTAATTAAATAATACCCCATGCTATTTTATTTAAACAAGTATTATAACCCTACGAGTGCCTGACTTTTCGGCCACCCTGAATAAGAACAACACACAGCAGCCTTCCATTATCGCGCAATTGCCCCGCATGGAACGTTCGCTTACAAATCGTTGCACCGTGTGGTCGTGAGTTTTTGAGGGATGGGACGGGAGGGGGGGGAGAGGGGGGAGGAGGGGGGGGGGAAGTTGGTGTGAAACCTCTCCTCTCCGCCACAACGGCGCGATCCTCCAAGGAGCGGGGAAACAAACGGACGTGATTCTCGACGCTCGGCTCACCGCACGCTCCGCGTCTTGAACCTCTTGCCCCTCTCGTCGCGTTCGAGAGGACAGACAGAGGTGGGGGGGAAGGCGGCGGGGGGGGGGGGTGCGGGAGCCGTCGACAATTCCAGCGTGCCGCCCACGAAATTTCCATTTGTTTATGTCGTGGCCGTGAGCGACGCTAATTTGCACGGCTCTCTGGATGTCGCCAAAAGCTGCCACGCGCTCTTAATGAGAGGCGGCCCTCCAGCTATTAATTAGCAATGCGGCGTCGAGCTGGTGGGATGTGCGGGAGAGGGGGGGGGTCAGTCGGGAATGATGTTTAACCTTTGCTGTAGCCTACGTGCCATGCTCCTGGGACAAGCAACACGGCGTCGGAGAACGAGTGAGCGAGTGAGTGAGCGAGTGAGTGAGCGGCGGGCGCAGCGGAGAGCATTTAGAGAAAGGGCACCCTCTTCAAATCTCTCTCCTACCTGGGGACCCCCCCCCACCACCCACTCCTGAGCCGAGCCATTCGATGATTCTGCAGCGGCGGTAAGCTGTCGAGTGGCGTGCGGGCGGTGCAATTGCACGGGTGACCCGCGGGCAGGAGGGAGCCCCAGAGGCCTCCCCTCTCCCGGGGGGGGGGGGGGGGGGGCAAACTCGATTCTAAAGTGCAGCGAGACGATGGTTCATTCGTCACCAACGACTGCGCATTCTCAACAGACAATGTAAACGAATTACTAAACTCGTTTTATGTTACCAGGTAAGGCCCGCCAAGCTTCGGAGCTTTTTTTCAGAAGCGACCTAGCCACAAATGATAGCTCAATGAAGTTGGCTTATCACGTGGAAATGTATTGCAGCTAAATACTCTAAATGCATGTTGACCCGGAGAAAGATCCACACGACCACAGGGAGAAAGAGAGAGAGAGAAACATGCAAACTCCAAATATGCAGCAGGCGTCAGGGTCTAGATCGAACTCAAAAACCTCCTGTATACTAGGCGAGGTATTTAACATCTCACCACCGTATCATGGTTTACTTTTGTAGATCCGGACAGAAGTTTCGGGCTGGGAGGGATTCGAACCGGTGATTCCAAGGCCAACTGGCTGAATGGGCTACTCAGCTGCCCGGGATCAAAGCCAACAACAACATCAACAACACCACTATTTTCTTGGTTCTTTCGGTAAAGTCACGTAGAATGGATATAATAAAATAATAAAAATAAAACATAATAAAATAATTCTCACGACGTTTCGGCCACAATGCAAGCAGCCGTCCTGAGGTGAAAAACGAGGTCCGTCGAGGCGACAGAGTCTGTGAGAATTATTTTATAATGTTTTATTTTTTATTATTTTATTATTTCCATTCTACGTGACTTTACCGAACGAACCAAGAAGATGAATCCCTGCAGTCACGAAAGCTTTAAATCGAAACGCCACCATTGTGATGGTGACGATGAGAATCATGATGATGATGATGATGGAAAGGATGATACGTTGATTTCCTGACGGGAGAAATGATAACAACAATGATGATTATGACAGTGACGCTGAATGAATTTGATAGGGACAGGAATGCTGCCGATGCTGCTCATTTTAGTAATGGAATTTACGGCGCGAATAACAATGACAGAAGTAATGATGCCACTGCTGCTGCTGCTGCTGCATTGATGATGATGGCTTTCTAAGTTCCCAATCAGAGCATTTATACAAGATAATTCTGAACATTTCTTAATTTGTTAATACATTTTTTATTTTGCTTGGTAGCAAGGTTTTCATTTGCTTGGTGTGTACGTGTGTGTTGGGATTCTTTCGCGCCGTACGTAGCCAACCGCGTATATGGGATTTGGACCTCGTATATAATTAACGTATAACGTTGTGGGTTGCTGTTGGCATGAATTCCGCTATATAAAACGAAAGTATTATTATTTACAACAAAAAAATTATATTTAAGGCAACGCAAAAAAAATCGCCCTGCTGCTGCTGCTCCCGGTGAAGACGACCCACGAAATCAATGCGACGATGACGATCGTGACGACGACGACTACGATAAGAACGATGGACGCTTCCGACGCGGCTATTCCCCCCCCTACCGCCGACAACGACGGCACAGGCCGATCGACAAAGAACGACCGCAGCATCGACGTCACCGCGCCCACGGCCACCACTCACAGATGTAGTAGTACTCCTGGCCGGGGAAAAACTCGAACCCCAGCGAGAAGGGAGTGAAGCGCAGGAACTTCTCGGAGAAGCGCTGGGCGCCCGCCTGCCCGTACGGCTTGTTGCAGTTCCAGCGCATGAAGCCGCTGGCGTGGTCACATGACCGGTAGCCGTCGTAGCTGACCAGGTAGAGCGAGTAGCGCTCCGTGCGCTCCTCCGGGGTGGCACGTGCGTCCGAGTAGTGCGGGCAGTACACGTCCAGGTAGTCGTTGATCTGCACGTCCAGGCTGTAGTCGTCCCTTTGGAACCTGCGACATAGCGGGAGGGGGGGGGGGTGTAGAGGGTTGGGGGGGGACAAGGGAGAGCGAGATGAGTAAACTGCACATCTCGAAATATTGTCGTCGATTCAACTCAGCTTCGCGAGAAATTTCCGTCGCATCCCGGGAAAACGTCGAGACCTCATTCAAAGGCCGCAGGAGAAAGAGATGACGAGAGAGAAACAACGTACGCGGCAAAGAGCCTCCGATGGAGAAGATACAAGAAGCACGGACTCGGATGGCCTCGGGCAGATAGTACCAAGCACGGAGGAGGCCGATTGCCTCGCCATTGCTGGCCACGTGGACAGAGCACGGTGGGAGCTCAATGGAGACAAGTGGCACCGCGGGAAGCGACTGGCCGTGGCCAGAGACTGGATAGCGTGGAGACATTTCAACCCAACATCATCAGCCACCGCCTGTTGATGGCCGGCGGCGGATGAGAAGACGGCCAACCACTTGGTTTGTAAAGTTGGTTTGTACTGATTGAGCCCTCCCCTCCCCAACCACCTCCACCACAACCGCCACCACCACAACTGCCGCCAGCACCAGCACCACGAGCACGAGAACAAAATGCAAAGATCCCCCGCATAGCCTTGACAGACTGCTGGGGCAAATGCTGTTGGACGAGTAGCACCTGTGAAGGCCGCAACGATTAGCACGGTTGGCTACGTATGGTGCGAAAGAAGTTCAGAAGTTAAACGGCACACGAGGGGGCGGGTGGTTCAGCACCATGCCCCGCCCGCCTTTGTCTCCCTAGTGGCGATGTTTACACGCCGCACCAGGTACTCATCATCACAAGCGGCAACAAATATTTGACGAATTGTGACGATTAAAATTTAAGAACCGCTTATTTTTTTTGTGTTTGTTGCTTCTATCGCGACGACAGTTTCGAGCAGTGGTTCTTAACTTGGGGTGCGAGATGCCCTTTCTGGGTGTGCGAGACGTGGTCAGATTTTTTTTCATCGAAACACAAATTAAGCATGGGCACCAGTAGCTGCATATGCTACGGGCCCCACACTTTCAAGGGCCCCGCGCTAGATGCTTTCAAGCTATCAATTCCGGTGCAGTGATTCTGCACTTGCTCTATCACTATAGTACTATACTGCCTTTTACGAACGGCTGGGTGTTTAATGTTAGCGATTTGTCGTATTATCTGGCTGTATAGCAAATGAAAAAATACAATTACTTTACTAAGCGAGTAAAAAATGTGTGTTTTAATATTTATGTTTTTTTTTAGTTAGGGCCCCTTTATAGTATATGTTACATGCCCTGTACTAGCTTCATCCGGCACTGATGGGCACATAAGTACATCGACTTTGTTTCATCAAACCTATGTATTAACATTACCGCTGGCATAGAGGCACCACGGTATGTGTTGTCTGTCGTAAGGCGGCGGTGATGATGATGATGGCGGCTGGCTTCCAGTGGCTTGCGGGCGCATCCACATTTAAATAGTCACCTATTGGACCATCGTTCTGACTGAGGACAAAGAAGAAACGCGAAGCTGTGAGCTCTCAACGGTCGAGGGGACTAAAGCCTTGGAACATTAATGATGATGATGATGCTGACGCTCATGATGATGGATCAAGTACGCTGCTGCACGTCAAAGGGACCATACAGAGAAGTGACAAAGCCTCGCCAAGGCCACTCATTGTGTTCTATGTTCGGCAATGGGACTTTTCAAGCAAACCTCACGCGCACGTGCGTGTGTGAGCGTGTGCTAACCGCTACACTAAACACGCGCGTTTGGTGTAGCGGTTAGCGAGCTGCACCACAAACCCCGGCGACACGAGCTCGATTCGCGCACACGGCCGACACCGGTGACGATGATCGGAACCTGTCCTGGGCGTCCCTGAGATCAAATCAGCCTCAAACGAGTACCTGGTGCGGTGTGCAAACATCGCCACCGGGGAGATAAAGGCGGCCGGACGTGGTGCTGGCCACCCACCCCTTCGTCTGCCGTGCCGGTCTTCGTATGCGCTACCTCGCCACCAGCACTTGCCCCAACAGTCCGTTACAGGCTCCACGGGGGGATCTTTGCCTCTACCTATCGTGCCAGTGCGCGTAAGTGCCGTGCTCAAAAGGCTCTCGGCGTTACGATCGGAGCACAGAGATCGTGGCAGAGCGTCGGTCCAGGCAGAACATGGCCACGGGCCAGATAAGCCCCATTACAGCGGGGGCCTTGCAACGAAAAGAGGGGGCGGAGGGGAGGGGGGGTGCGGCGTTCGATGCTACAAAAAATTTGCGCCGCGGGCTAACGAGGGCAATTATGTAAATGTGAAGCATATTCACCGCGGTCAATGAGGTCGCCGCGAGCAAGCGGGGAGCGTCTTCGTTATGACGCGGCGCCCCCCCCCCCCCCCCCTTTGTCTCATGCGGCGGTGGGGGGGCACAATCACGTGGTGGGATCGTGCGTGCCACGTGGAAAACGCGGCCTCAATTCGCCGCTCTACGATGATATTCTATGCGGGAAAATAAGCAAGCGGGTGGGGGGGGAGTGGTTGTCTCATGGATTTACTGGGCCCTGTCGTAGGAACGTGGAATTTCCACGGCTGGCCCGGCTCATTCTCCGTCTACCGTCGCGCGACCCCCCCTGGGTAGCGGAGTCATTGCATTTAGGACGAATCTTATTTGTTGTTGATGACTTGTTTGTTGTTGACGACTTTTGTTTGTGCTTTTCGTTTCGGTGCCATTTCTCAATTTTTTTATTCTTTTTTTCGCTTAGTAGCAAGGGTTTTCATTTGTTTGTTAGTGGCCGTACATGGGATTAGGTCCCTTAAGACTATGAAATAAATTGACAGCGTTGTGGGATGCTATTAGCACAAATGTAATAAAAGGAATATTATTTTGACATTTTCAGGGGGATTGGGTCAACGGGTACGAACGCGTGATCAGCTTCAAAGCAAGCCCCGAGTTGTGACCCTAGACAGGAAAGAGAAGCAGAGCGGAGGGAGGAGAGAGAGGGAGATGAAGGGAGGAGAGAGCCGAGAAACATAAGACGACTAAGAAGGAAAGAAAGAAGGGAGATTGGGCGGACGATGACATCGCTACTTGAAGGTTCGCGCCACCGTGTAACGGTGTAGCTGCTGCTGCTGCAGCTCTGTACCCAGCTCAGTCTACATGGCCCGGTGGGAGCCAACCAAAGTGTAATTCATGTGCAAGTGTGTTTTCTTAGCGATGAGCCGCTGAGATGGTGGCTCTGGGAGTTCCCTTTGGGTCTGGTAAGGGGTGAGAGGGTAGGCGGGCGGGGGGGCACCGCTGGTGCTCGGGAGGCCGATGTAGCCTGGAGGAGCGGTGGCGCAGCGGTTAGCTCGCCGACCTATGAACCCAGCGACCCAAGTTCGATTCCCGCTCACGCGCCACCAACATCAGTGACAAATATTTCAAACAGTCCTGGGCATCCCACCCCCCCCCCCCCCCCCCCCCCCGGTCAACTCAGCCTTACATGTGCAACTGGTGCTGTGTGTAAACATCGCCACCCGCCTCCTCCTGTGCCGTGCCGGCCTTCATAGGTGCTCGCTAACAGCACTTGCCCCAACAATCTGCGAAGGCTATAACGGGGGATCTGTCTTTGTGTATGTTGGTTCATGCGTGTGCGCGTGTTGGCAAGTGTCAGTGGTCCGTGTATGTGTCTGTGCATTTCTGCGTACACAGGTACAGGCAGACCTCGTTGAACGCTCAAGATTCGTTCCTGGAGCAGTTGCATATATGGGGATGTGTTTCCGGACAGAGTCCAATTCACGGCCACGGCTAACATCATTGGCAAGTGGTATCTGAACCGGACCTGGGCTTCACCGCTCCTGCCGATTGGTCATGAGCTGCATTCCGCACCAACCTGCAGTCTGGTCCAACAACCCTCCTGTACCGACACGGCGCGGACAGATCTTTATTCAGTCGGGTATTGAGAGAGGGCTGAAAAATTACGATCTTGTATTTTATTACGCCACTTTTTCCGATTTAACATTCAGATTTCAATCATCATAATCTCTTCGTGACAGCGAAGGCTCTGAAGTGGGAATGCGACGACGCCCACCTTAAAAAGGTAAGGACACCATAAAGTACCATTCCATTCATATTTACCGTTCATAGCATCGCAAAGTGCATAACTCGTTTAATGAATGGCTTGACAGGTTTTTATTTAAGAAAAACATTTTTTTGTAATAACTAATCTCCCCACGCATCCCTTGCTGCCTGTGCGTGTCACCAATCTTCGCAGGCGTCTGAACACATTTTCGGAAACGTCTCTTTCGCAAAACCATTTACCCTGTCTCTTGATTACCTGTGCAAGGATGATCATAAAAAAAAAACATAATCAAAACATCGTACATATTTTCGGCGAATTAAAGTCAGCTGCTTTATTAAATCCGCCGCTGGAAATTGGCAATGCCATGCTAAGCAAGTTTTCTGCTCAAGTGAATTCACAATGGTTTTCTCATTTAGCCGTTCACACGCCAGAATATATTTGTTTCCTTTGGAATCTGCTCCTTTGTTTATACTCGATCTGTGGCGAGCAAATGAGACATGCAAGGACGCGACATCTGTCCTGCTTGGCAAATTTTTTTTAAAAATCTCCCCCTTTCAAGGCGAGAATTTGAAATGCATCACGCGCACTGCTAGCGAGCCTGTTTATTTAGAAGGTATAACAATAGCCTGGAAATTAAACTAAACAATTCCTTTTTTTTACCTCCTGTGTGCCAAGCAATGGAATTATCATCCCGCCACCGCAGATAACATCATAGTGCAGTCAAAGTTGCGCAAACTCCTATCCCTTTACTCCTCACCCCCCAAACCAAAGATATTCACACCAACTGCCTCTCACCACCCACTGTGGCCTAGTACTTGGCCCACAAAGGATGCAGTTTCTCTGGGCAGGAATCTATGAAAGGCTGATGCTTTAAGGATGGCCTAGTGCTAGAGCATTCTAAACTAAACTAAGAAATACGTTTTGGGTCTTTTGGTAAAGTCACGTAAATAGAAAATTTATATAAAAA